CTTTAACCGATTACCAACCGACAGCTACTGGTATGCAGCAGAAAGTGGTCATACCCCCTAGTGATTGTCATTAAGCCAACTACATGTGTTAGCTATAAATGATTGTTGAAACGCACCCCTCCCTCTCAACGTCAGAGAAAAGCACTCAACAATAAGTTAAAGCACTCAGCAATTTGTTTGGATGATTTCTGACACAACAATTTAGTTCTAGAATACAACAAAAACAACACAGACCTTATACGCTCCATCATACTGGGCTACTTCTTCTCCGATCAAGAAAACGCGGTCGTCTCTTTTGATCTCCTCATCCATGGCCTGGTTGAGCGCATCTCGCACCGTTATTGCTTAAAAAGCTTAATGTAGAAAACGTTTTTCTCACTAAATATGACACTAGGAGACGGAAACCAGTGCTATTATTCAAGATGAAACAGAAGTAACACACATAGCACCGACAGGGTACAGCATCGTGATGTGTGAAATGGTAGTGTAGGCACGACCCACCCCACCCCTCCGAGAGAGGGTGTCAGTAAGACCCACCCCCCCCCTTCCACTTCCCCAACACCTACCTACCTTTCTCACATTTTCCAGTCCAGTTTTTCACCCAAAAAATTTCCGTCGAGAGGAGGGAGGGAATCCCCAACTTCCTATCACATTTTCCGGAATTTCCCGAGAATTTCCTTACTTTTCTCCAAAAATTTTGCTTCGAGCGCACACACGGAACAGAAAAAATCACGCGAAAAGTCAACAACGGGAAAAAATTTGGTGCTAACGTATTTGGGGAGGGGGGGGACCACGCGGCGCGCGGCGAGCGATGACTCATCTGCTCTTCTGCTCCCTACTCGGCAAAATAGAGGTAATTTCATGTTTAGGACATGAATATAACACCGCCCTAAGGTGCTATATTCAAAAGGTAAAACAGTTAATGCTGAAAAGTGCGAAGAAACAATAGTAGGCTGGAAGATTCTTGCCTAAACTACAAGGGAATGAATTCCGGCCTAGGTGAACCCATTCGTTTGCGTAAAAGTGACACTATTAATTAAACTGGATGGTCCGCAGAATCCAAAGAGAAATCTACTCCAATAGCTCACTATCAAATCGCAGAAATTGAATCTTGAGCGGTTTCCTCACAATAGAATCACAATTTCACCTCACCAATTCACTTCAGCTTGTTACTCGAAGTCCATTTGTTTTCCGCTTCTGTATGATTTCTCAACAAGTTCCCGGTGAATCTTGTTTGTTTTATTCTGAATAGCTGCTAGATTCGCGCTTCAGTATGCCGGGAACCATCTGTGGGCTGTTTTGAACATTATCTCGCCGAGGAAGAAGCGGAAGAGCAGATGAGTCATCGCTCGCCGCGTGGTCCCCCCAAATACGTTAGCACCAAAAAATTTTTCCAACGCAGTAAATTTGTCTCTAACCCACATACGACCCCCTCCCCCTCTTCCCAGGGACTAATACGATCCCCACCCTAGCGAAAAGGACGACCCTTAAGTGTTTCACACAACGATGCTGAACTCTGAGCATCGTCTCTCCTTAGGAGTGTGCTCATACTTTACGTCAGTGTTTGAGCGACTAGGAAGCATATGTATCGATTCAGCGTCATGAATGTCCGTCAGCGCTTTGAGAGTTTTGAGCGACTAGGGAACCACGGGATGTCGACCATTTCTTGAAAACGCCGGCGCACGCTCAAAATGCTGGTGGACGCTCAACATGCTGACGCTCAAAATGCTGGTGGAGGCTCGAAAAGCTCAATCAATTACCTTTACTCTCTTACTGGCTCAAAATGCTGACAGACGCTCAAAACTGCTTAAAAGTGTGAACACATTCTGAGACCTCCCCAAGTTCTCACATTCCAGCTCTTTATTGTATCTTAACCCCTTCTTTGATAATTAACGAGGACCCATTCTAGTTCGCTGCGAACGGTTGGGCGTGTCACCCCATCAAGGCCGTTCTCTGCCTTCTTGTTGAAGCGCGCATGCGACAAAAAGTGGTAGAAAACGAGTAATACGAACGATATGATACAGTCTTATCACTTGCTCGCTTTAATAACAAGTGAAGAACGGTTGGCACCGCGCCAAACTCATCGCCTGACGCTCCCAAGCGTCCGCACCGAACTACACTATATCTGTCGTGGTTTAAAAGGCCTCACTATGTTGCAATGGGACCCAAAGCCGTTACAAATTCAAAGCAGAAACCACTTACATTGTGCAGATGCAAGATTGCGTTTGCTAGTGTTCAGCAACCGAGCAATAGCAAGCCGACCGCAACTTTTTAGAGCCATGGAGGACGATGGATATTACCTATAATCACAGCGGTTCATTCAAGAAAACAACTGACACTAAATGATCAATGCTTCGTCTCCCTTTAGAACGCCCTTTGCACCTGTTTTGTTTCGCTAGAGCGCAGATAGCGAAACAAACTTAAAAGAAATAACTCTCAAGATTGATGAACTGACAGCTGATAGCACGTTCTTTTACTGGAACTGTTGTCCTAAGTATTGATTCAGATTAGCCTTCGCAGAAGCGCACACTACATATCAACACGAATAGTAGAGTGAACTTCTATTGCTGCCTGAAAAACGCAGCCCCTGGAGAAGGTTCGTCACACACGGTGGGCAGTAAATGGTAAGTGGCGCACGATCGCTAGATCCTTCTAGGATCTTTTAGTTTTTTTTGGGCTTCTTTTCAAAGTTACAAAGCATTTGTCAACCAAAAGTTGGAGAGTTGAGACATTTCCAATATGCTTTCCCGAATCCCTTGGGATATGTGTCAAGACAATCGTAACCCTCCGAGTTGGTGGGCGTGTCGAACGACGCCAAGGAAATGATGCACAGTGAAGATTGTCGCTATTTCGCGCCGTCGCTCACGACGAATCGCCGCAAGATACGCCTTGAGTGACGCGCGACAACTCACGATTGTTTTGTCCATCCCTCCTCTAGCCTTTCAATGAAGGAGAAATGGGGGGGGGGAATAGTAGAGCGACTTTGCCGCTTACAGATCCTGAGACAGGAGCTTTGATAGCCTCACAGGTTCGCAGTTTAGCGACTTTGCTGCTCACGGTATGCCGCACTGCTCGCCTCAAGGAGGTGATCCTCAGAACAACGGATTTCTTGGCTATTCCGCACAGGAAAAAAAACCATTTCGCGGTTAGAAGAGGTACTTTTTCACTCTGTCAAGCGGGAACGGGCGTTTGTTAGATTTCTTTTTATAGAAAACCCAGGAAACAGAGCAATGAAAGATCGGTGCAAGTCGGCTGAGTAGGAGGGGGGGGGGGCATTTGAAGGATTCATTAAGCAAAACTGGTATTACCGTAGTGCGGTGCCCTTTCCCAGCCCAATGAAATCGATTTTCACAACCGGAAGCTCCTTCGCTCGAGAAAAACTCTGCTCTTCATGAAAGCGTGTCTAGCTCCTCTCTCCATAAAACCCTCGGCATTATTGTGAACTTCTAAATTGTAATTTATTTTGCCAAAGAGGTTGGTAGATGGAAGACCTTATTGAAATGGCTGATGTTTCAAAAGGTACGTCGTCCTTAGAGGCCAGTCGACCACCACCAAACTTTACTTACTAACTAAAACTAACAGTGAGTGACATCGTTCCGCTCATGTGGTGGTGAACTGGCCTCTGAGGACGACGTTCTGTCGAAACCTCAGGGCATTTCAGTAAAGTTTTCCACGTACCAACCTGACAGAATAAATTACAACTTCACGAAAACGTTCCTATTTTTGCACATGTAGTCCGTTAACACATTGCGGACTAATGTGCGTACTGGCGTAAGTTTCTAGCAACTTCCAGAGCATGTCGTACAGAGCCATCTCTAATAGAGGGTCGTAATCAGAGCACGCCATCGCGTTGTGACCCTTTCCTGAAAAATACGACCCCTAATTCTATCCTCAAATACGACCCCCCTCCCCATGCTACCTACCACTTTCCTAGATTTTCCCAACTTCCTACCACTTTTTCCATTTTTTCCGAAAAATTTCCAGTTTTTCAGCCAAGAATTTTCCGTCGAGCGGGGGGGGTATATACCCAAAGTGAAACAGGAAAATTTCTCAGATTTTCCCCTAACCTCCTTTTCCGAAATTCGTTCAGGTCGTTCAGGTTTTTCCTCAAAATTTTGCTGTCGAGCGGGGGGGGGGGGCGCCAGGATTTAAACTCTCATTTTTCACATTATAGGAAACGCAGTCGGAATCGCCCAGCTCACGCCGGAAGGCTCGTCCTCCTTCTTTTAGCTGGCTTCGCCAGGCGCGTTCCATAATGGAACGGAACTTTTTCAATAAAGGGCTGCTCATACGGCGCTGTAGTGATCGAATCGTTGCAGATGGATAACAAAATTGCATTTTTTTCTGATATTGGTGATAGAAGGAAGGCATTGGATCGTGCCAGTACTAGCACAAAGCTACATTTGCAGGACAGGGCAGGATTGATTTGTGTCTGGTCGTATTTAGAGTCTCATATATCCAGCAGAATGTTAACAGAGCCGTTGCCACATTTCCACATTAAATACTATATATAGTATTATCAGACACAAGAGTATAAAATTGTGTAGGGTAGTGGCAGTCAATACAAGCAAGCTGCGAGTTAGGAATCGCTCTTCCAGTAAAAGCAATGTCAGTTTCCAATCTCTGCAACCCGAAAGAATGCCTACCGATGAACGTTTCCTTCACTTAGCTTGCAATCCGCTGAACTATAACTAATTGTAGGTTCTATGAGCCCTTGTTATTCGATCTAATCAGAACAACATTGTGAAAGTTAATAAGTTAAAAAGAGTGCTATTGACGCAGTGATGCCAACAATTAATTCATTCGATTCGGTTTCTCGGTTCATCACTCGAGAGTCAATCCTGAGTTTCCTATTTCAGAGGAACTACATATCCCCCCCCTCCGCTCGTCGACTTCGACATTCGACATTGGTGGGATGACTTCATTTTCTAGGGCTATCATAGAAGTGATGGGCCAAAGGAAAAGTTTGCACCGGGGCCTCCAATACTTGGGCAGGTAATACGCGATAAGAGATGTAAATGACAACTCCCTTAATCTTCTTATCAATAAGATAAGGTTTCAACTCGTTAACAATGTCCTCTAAATCTCACACTCTATAAATGGTAGTGTAAAGGAAAACAGCATAATACACACTGAACAACAATGGCAACGTTCCTTATCTGCCCCTATCAGCTGTTATCACGTCCTGTCACCTGCCGTCGATGTCCCCACATCCCACCCTACATCATTTTCTGAAATCAACTCCTAGCTGATGCTGTGTCCTGGCTAAGAGTGGTTGGGGGACCCTTACCCTTTCTGAACTAAACCCCTCCTCATCGGATCTTATCAGCTGATATCATTCCCTGTCACCCATCAATAATGTTCCTGTATCACACCCTATACCATACCTTGGAACCAACGTCCCACTGTTGCTGTGTCCCGCACTATGGACCCGATGGCTCTCTCCTTCAGACGTCTGGCGGTAC